CAGTCGCGAGACTTCATCCCATTGAATTTCTGCTTCGCTGGGTCTAGGTATCTGCTTATCTTCCCCGCATAACCGTAAGGAAGTTTTACTCCTACGAGGCAGGTGAAAAACTGCTCGATCTCCTCCTGACTTAGAGTGAAGCATGCGGGAGGGTAGTCACTTCCGGTCTTCTTGGCCTTTTGCCTTTGCGACGAGTTTCTGTGTCCTGCTTCGCCTCATCATCATCATCATCATCATCATCATTAGCGTGAAGCTCTTGCCTGATGCCCATTGATTTCAAGTCTGCCCTTGCTTTCGGCCCATCTTTGGTCCTCTCTGGCATGTTGAGCAGGGTACCAAGCAGACTCTCACACACGTTCTTCGTGATATGCATGGCATCAAGGTTGTGAGGCACACGGTGGATCTTCCAATACGGCAAGTCCCAGAAAACAGACCTCGTTTTCCATACCTTCAGCAGCGGCTCTGGCGCCTTTCGCTTCTTTCCCGGCTCTGGCGCCTTTTGCTTCTTTCCCGGCAGTGGGCAATCTTTCCAATTTTTCAACAGCTCGTCTATTTCCTCGCCGCTCCTGGTACGCGGGCGTTTTCGGGGTTCGGTTTCACCATCGAACAGATCCTTGTGTTTCCTCCACGGGTCATCGTCGCGAAGCCACCTTCGATGTCCCATAAACACGGTTTTCAAAGATCCGGGATCTTTATCTAGCTGGCGATACGTTGTGTCATCCATGCACCTTACGCATCCAGAAAATCCGTGGACTACCTGCCCCGCGAGATATCCGTAACCGAGATAGTCGTGCACCGTCGTGAGCAGTGCGGCTCTCATAGGGAAATATTCTTTCTCTGCGGCGTCCCACGTATTGACTGGCATTTTCCACAGCGTGTCTAGCTCCTCTTTCAGTAACCCCAGATACAGATTGATGTCGTTCCCTGGTTGTTTCGGCCCTTCAATTAGCATACTCATGCGAATGTACTTCCTCTTCATGCACAACCAGGGGGGAAGGTTGTACATCCACACAAACACAGGCCACGTGCTATGTGTGCTTCTCTGGCTACCAAACGGATTGACTCCATTGGTGCTCGCGCCCAGCATGATGTTCCTTGGATCCTTCCCAAATTCTGGGTATTCGAAGTTCAACGTTTGCCACTGGCTCGCATCCTTAGGGTGACTCAGCATCTTGTCTTTTTTATTTATCTCCGGATCATTTCCGTCATCTTCCCGCTTCTTATCCTCCCTATCCGCGTGCCAACGCAGGAGCTTTGCTACCTTAGGGTTCGTGAAATACCGCTGCAGACGAGGAGTGATCGGAAAGTACCACACCGATTTTCGAGGAGCTTTCTTCCTCTTCTTGTATCGAGTGACGCCGCACACCGGACATATGGTAGACTCTGCGTGCTCGTCCCGATAAATGATGCAATTGTTCATGCACACACAGTATTTCACGTGCGGTAAATCCAGAGGACACACGATTTTCTTCGCCTCCTCGAAACTGGTCGGGCACTTGTTCCCCTTGGGAAGACGTTCGTGCCAGAATGACATGTTCTCGTCGAAGCATGCGTCGGTCATTTTGTGTTTTACCTTCATCTCCAGAGCCATGAGCGTTACTTTCAGGCGGGTATCCTCGGGCCTGCATCCTTCATACAATGGAGTAACCGCGTCTATCTCCAGTTGATCCAGCTTGGCTTTCTCTCTGGCGGCAGCTCTTGCGTTATCCGTCTGCTTGAGAAGCAGCTCTTGAATATAAGGGTCCTGCACCCAGCCTCCATCGTCGTCTGCTCCGGCATCTTCATCTTCATGATCATGCCCTTCGTCTTGATCTTCCTCATCATCATGTACGACATCTTCTACATGATGACTGTGTACAGCATCACCGTCGTGATCATGTCCTGGAGATTCTTCGTCTTCTCGCCCGCCCTCGCCGCGGTGGTACTTGTCTTGTTGCCCTTCCTCATTTTTTGCCCGGCCCCCATGGACGACTTCATAGTCATCTTCATCACCTTGCCACCGATAGCCATCCATGAAGCCACGCAAGAGCAGGTGGTCCCGCACCTACCCGGAATCCGGGTCCGCAATAAGGCTCTTCAGCTTGCATCTTCGACACGGATATCTTATCTCCGTCTCGTTCTTTTGAAGCATCTCGGCCTTCGCGGAGCTCAAAAACCTATTCACGATGCCTTCGGTCATCGTGCGGACCATGGTCGCCTGCGGGGTAGAGCAAAACGATATTTTAGAACCAAGAAAAAATTTGGCATGACCTTCCCTAAAAATAGGACCAAAAAGAATGTATAGTGCCAAAATTCTCGCCGAAACGGAAATGAATCAACATTCCGGCAAAATATTAGCAACTATCGCATTTCAAATACCGGTACCTGCAAACACAAACATATATGCAACACCACAAACACATGCAACACCACAAACATACATAGATCTAGCTAGGCCACGAAAAGTGCATGTGCACGTTGTTGGAGCGAGCTAGGGAGAAAAAAAGTAGATCTATATCATGAAGATAGCTTTCCCCTTACTTACCTATCAAAAAAAAGGTAATTTCACCACTTAATTTTGATGAATCTATGGTGGAAATGAGGTGAGGAGGAGAAGTCAGCCGAAAGCTTGGAGAAGGACGTGGAGGGAATGAAGTGGGGAAAGTGAGTGGGTAGGTGTGGGGCTGTCCAAAATATCTTGTTGGGGTCCCAGGTTACTAATGGCGCACCACCTGCACATGCGACATTAGTAACCAGGTGGTGCGCCATTAGTAGTTTTGCAGAAAAGTAAAAAATATATATATATATACTAATGACGCACTTTTACAGGGTGCGCCATTAGTAATTTAAACTACTAATGGCGCACGGTGAGGCGGTGCGCCATTAGTAGTTTTGCAAAAAAAAAGAATAAAAAAAATTCAGTACTGGCGCACTCCTTGTCTGGTGCGCCATTAGTGTCAATCCCATCTATAGCCTTTTTCCTAGTAGTGAGGGAACCTTGATTTTCCACAGCATGCTCCATGATTTCTCGTCTCTGTCGAACCTAGATGATCCGCCCCGTCCTTCCAACCATTCCTCCTTTTGTATTTTTGTTTGTTGCAAGAATTTATACGCCGAGCTTACCGTGAAAATTTTCCTTCTTCTCCGGATACCAAGCCTAGAAATCCTCTATGTTGCGTGTGCAAACTGGTATCCTCAAAATAGCTTCGGCGTCGATCGGTAGAAATACCTTTCTGATTACTTCTTCGTTCCAAGATGCTGTAGCCGGTAGCATTAACTCTGAAACATACCTGGGAGGATTGGCCACGAGCGAAGTTATCGGTCGTGGAGTCATCTCTTTTGGTATCCAGTTATCAACCCAAATCTCCGTTGTTTGGCCATTGCCAATCCGGCGAATGATTCCTTGCTTTAACAGATCACGCCCCTCCATGATTGCACGCCAAATCTGTAATGGTTTTGAGCCCATCACTGCATCTAAAATTGTTCCCTCCAGGTAATACGTAGCTTTCAAAATCCTTGCGCTCAGGCTTGTTGGTTCTTGTAGTAATCTTCAAGCTTGGCGTGCCAACAGGGCCAAGTTAAACAGTTCAAGATCTCTGAAACCGAGGCCTCCCAAATGCTTTGGTCGCGTCATAATATCCCAAGAAACCCATGCAGGCTTTCGTTCTCCTTGTTTGCAGCCCCACCAAAATTTCCGGATAATAGATTTTATGTGATCATATAAACCTCGTGGCAACTTAAAACAAGACATAGAATAGACCGGGATAGCTTGGGCTACCGATTTGATTAACACATCCTTTCCACAAGCTGAAAGGCACTTGCTCATCCACCCTTTCACCTTGTCCCAGGTATCTGTCACTCGATGATTCATTTGGTACCTAGTTTGAATTAGATATAGATAGACGAACGTGCGTAAGCTAGATTGTTATGCATTGGGCATTTGGGCAAATGGGCCTAGTTTGCTGCCGCTGTCTGTAGGTTATTTTTTTATTGTAGACTTTACGGATGTTATGGGCTGGGTTCGGTCCCTGCACGCACACACTCCGATCGGCTCCCCGTCAAAAAAAGGGGAAAACTCCGACCGGCTTCGCTCCAAAAGAAAAGAAGAAAGAAAAAGAAAAACGCACGCCGCCCGGCTTTCCTTCGCCCGCTCGTCTGCCCCTCCGACGCCGGAGCTCCGCGCTCCCACCCGCCGGCCGCTCTCCGCCCCTCTGCAGGTCCTCCACCACCCGTCCCGTCCCTTCCTTACTCTCCTCCCGCGAGGCCCCGTCCCCGCCCCGCCTTCTCCTCTCCTCGCCGCCGTCGACTGGACGACGCCAGCTCGCCGCCGTCCGCGAAGGCGACGACCGGCAGCAGCGGCCCGAATCGAGGAGCGAGGGCCCTCTCAGGTGATCTTCCCTCTCTCAAGTGTCGTGCCCCATGCCTCTGGTTAGCTCCCCGATTTGGACGATCTCGCGGTTTGATGCGTGCTGCGATTTATTTGGGGATGGATCTGGGATGATGGATTTACCGTCGCTCGTGCCATGCTAGCAAATCTTATGTAGGCATTTTGGATTCATGTCAAGTGTATGCCAAGTGAATGAACATTAGCCTCATAAGTAGTATATGATTATGCTCATATTCCGTAAGAAATTTAGATTCTCTGGGCAGTTAAAGTTTTTGGCCTTTGGAACGCTTATTCCAAACCATAGGCCCATAGCCCTGTTACTTGTTCCAACTTTGGTAGTTATGTAGTTTGCTTCTGTTTGTGTGGACTATAGCTACATTGGGACGTTCTGTTAGTGGATTAGTGGATGGTTTTGATGTTAGTTATTTCACTTCATTGAGCAGAATGGATGTCATCTATAAGTTGCGAACATCATGTGTAATAGTACTTTTTCATTCCCCGTTTTCCCCTATACTCTGCTACAGTCGCTGTTTATCAATATGCTATCTAATTACCCACATATGCATGCTTCTTTGTGTTAAGAATAATATCTTTTTGATCTATTCGTGAAATATGAAGGTGTTGAGTGGGCCAAATGGCACAGATTCCAAACCTCGATAACGCCGCGCTCAATCTTACTGCCCTGAGGTCTCTTATTCTGATCTTACTCACTTCCTGTGTCTTCCTCTAAATCTTGACTTGTGTTCTTAATCTGTTTTAACCCTGGCATCCAGGGAGCAGTCACAGAAGGAACTTCTCAGCATAATCAAGAGTGTGCGTTTCTCCTCCTGCACCCCCTGTCGCCATCTTATGTACTTTTGTTGACATTGAAGACTTTGCATTCCTTGTGTATCAGATTAGGGGGAAGAAGTGTCTGGTCATTGATCCGAAGCTTGCGGGTACCCTCTCGCTGATCCTGCAGACCTCGGTGCTAAAGGTTTGGTGATAGACTCTGGTTTTGCTGCCAATAAGCGATACATTTCATGTCCCTAACTAATATCTTAATACATAATTTGAACTTTGGGGATGTGCCATGAATATTCCTTCAAATACCTTTCATACATAAACAAAAGAGTAAAGCCACGTTGCAGTTACTTTCTTTATTTCAACTTGGATAGCTCAGACATGTTTTTTTATGTTGATTAGGAATATGGCACGGAGCTGCGGATCCTCTCTGCTGACCCTCTTCAGACGGAATGCCCCAAAGTGGTGTATCTTGTTCGCTCCCAGCTGAACTTCATGAAATTTGTGGCTAATCAAATTAAGAATGACGAATCCAAAGGGCTCCAGAGGGAATACCACCTCTATTTTGTACCACGCCGTATAGTTGCCTGTGAGAAGGTATTTTGGTTTCTGTATATTTTATTTCCATTAATGTACATGCATGTTCTATTATTGTGTTTGGACTTATAATTCTAGTATGGTAGAATAATTTGTGAGACTCATGCGAAATTCAATAATTATAGACCTCATTACAATAAGAGATGACTCAAACACAATCACCATTGTCCTGTATGGATGTCATGTGTGTACTGTGGAATTGAGTGATCTCATACATTACTACTGCACAGAAAGAATGGAATTCCATCTTGTATGGGTGAAATCTGCACTAGCAGATATCATAATTATAGTTATGCTTTATTTGACTAGGTTTTAGAAGTTTGGCAAGACGGAATCAGTCCTTCAGAGTATTCCCATTTCCCGAGTGTATTCCTGTAGTTCTTAGCCCAACAGGTTTATTAGACATGATGCCAATGAATACGACCTTATGTACTAAAATGTTGACATGGCAGGTATTAACTGAACACGTGTTCTTTTCATTGCTGATGATAGGCCTGAAATGTTTTTCCAATCTGAACACCATAAATCTTTGCATTATTTCTTCCCAAATACAGTTTTATCCATACCAGTGACATATACAGTAGTTACCGTAGGATGGAACTTTTGTTACAGATTATTCATATGAATATTTCTTTACAATCTGAATGAGCTTCTCAAGGATTTCAGCTTGCCTGCTGCTTCACTGTTATATAAAGCTGATGCCCTTTTACTTTAGTTCGTGACCCATTGGCTGTGTTGTTTTGACAATTAAAATTGAGAAGCTTTAGCTATGCATTTACACGAAGTCATAATGCTGGCTATGATCTTCTAGCGTCTAAACTAGCGATAACATATTTCAATTTCTCTTGAACTTCGTCACCATTGTTTGGTATTTATAAAGGAGTATCGAATTTGACTAGCCAGAAGAGGATCCAGGAATGCTAACTATCTTTATGTATAGTAAAATTAATAAATTCTAACCTATCTTTTGTAATCTCCCCTGAATTGTCATGTATCTGCAATGCTAATGACCAAGCATCTGATTATGGATGGCACAGACAATTGTAAATCATAACTCAATATAGATTTTTTCCGAGTTGTAATATTCGTTGAGGAATAAATAAATGTTGACAAATTGGCAAATACATCATTCATAGCCCGTACATACTTTTCAGGTGCCAAAAAAGTTATACTGTCCTGTTGTTTTGATGATTGGTAGACATTTTCCTTGTTATAGTAGTAATCTTATTAGTTTTTCTTCCCCTTAACTCGCGGATGCCCAAACACATGCTTAGCTATTGTTCTCAGAATTTTGTGAGCTAGGAGCCTAGGACACATGAATCCAGGAATCCACTCCATAAATTTCTCTTTGCACTAAGGCATCTTCAATTTAATTCTCTTTTTTTCTTGCTGACACAGATTCTGGAGGAAGAGAAAGTTCATCAAAAGTTGACAATCGGAGAGTATCCCTTGTATCTAGTTCCTTTGGACGAGGATGTCCTTTCTTTGGAGCTTGACTATTCCTTGCAGGTACAGCTACATAATTGGTGTAGCATGTTTTTCTAACATTTTATTAGTCTCATTGGAGCATTTATGATTTTCAGGAATGCCTTATTGAAGGAGATACAAGTTCTGTCTGGCATGTTGCAAAAGCTATCCATAAGTTAGAGGTATGTATGTATGTCTTCCCTTCCTGTGTTTGGAATGTTTTGTACTTGAAATAGTGATTACTCCATTTGTGATTCATTAGTTTATGGCTGAAATATTGTTATGGATAGACTAAGTTACGATCGACCACTATACTTGACGTTTGCATATTACTTACCAACTCTGCATCTGCAATCTCACAAGTTTTTTGACACAATCTTTCGTTCACCAGAAAGTCTTTCACCCTATTTCAATGTGGGAAACTGGCTTCCATCAAATTCATAAAGTGTTGCTCTTACGCATATAAGGTTTCTTTTCCAGTTTGCCTTCGGGGTTATCCCCAATATTAGAGCCAAGGGTGTAGCATCAACCAAAGCTGCAGAATTGCTGAACCATATGCAACTCGAAGACCCGGTCAGCATGGATAATGTAATGCCATTTGATTTCAACCTTTCATGACTCAGATCTCTAAATTCAGCTGATTGCCTAATTTTTACTTTGTGGTGCTTTTAGATGGGGATTCCAGAGATAGACACCGTTATTTTGCTAGATAGAGAGGTAATTTTCTGTTGTACACTTTGTGATCATTTCTTGCTTTTCTCAGCTTATATGAACCTTTTTACTATTTTTTAAGTGATCAAAGTTTTGTATAAATTATAGTGATCTTAGGTGTGAATGTGTGATATATTTTCTTTTGATGTCTTCTGCTTTTCTGGAATTCATCTTTTATTCATTCAGGTGGATATGGTGACACCAATGTGCTCTCAGCTAACGTATGAAGGTCTATTAGACGAGGTAGGCCATGAAGTTTTTGATACTGGCATTACTTATAAGTCACAAGTGTTTGAACTATTAGCTTTCTCTGTTGAATCTTGATTGATAACATGTGAACGTATGACTCTCCGAGCTAGCATGTTCCTGGCTTTCTAGTATTGCTTTCTCTTAAGTTGGGGTTGATGTGAAACACCACACAGTTTGTGTTCCTTGCCAGTCAAAATAAGACATTTTTATTGCCGCTTCCGTCTTTGTTGTGGCTCCTCCACCAGATCATGCGTGCAGCAGTGTAGGCCTTGTAATGAATTCAACAGTATGTATGTTGTGAACCACAGTACACAACGGGGTAAACACCGCCGGGAGGGTGTTCGAATGGAGTCAGCCTGATTGGGGAAGCGATTAGATCATAGGTGGGAGATACATTTGGGAAGGAATAGATTGATTTCTCATTGTTTGGACGGGAATCAGACCTGTCTGCTGGTATATACTAACAAATAACAAACTCAATCTCTATTTGATAACTATCTACTCTATGCATAACTGTGCGATAGCTATCTACACTAGCTGATACATACGGCTGTTGCCATCCACCCTAGTGTCGCAGCCGTCCGGCTGTAGTCCCAAGGTCCACACCTCCCTAATCTCTACCAATGATGTGTAGTAAATTTTAAAAACCATAGAGTTGCAGATGGAAATCACAGGATGCCACTAAAGGCCACCTAAAACTCTGGTTCTTACTTGGTAATGTTTCCTTGAGCCTTCATGTTTACTACCCTAGTTCCAAAATAGATGTCATTTTAAAGTGTATGCAGTCAAACTGCTGTGAATTTGACATTTTAGACTGGCCTTTGTTGGTGGATTTCTGTATCAAATGATTTTTGGAATAATGTGGTCAAAGGTGTATACTGAACTGTATGCCAGAAACATCTACCCTGGATGGAGGGGGTCATACACATTGTTGTCCTAATCGAATGACTGATTTGTCATTTAATATTGGTCTATCCAGATGGCTACTGGAGTTGAGCTGCATGCAGAATGTCGTATCCTGACTGAACTAACTGTGATAATATCTTGCTTTTAAGTAATGTCCACCTTGCTTTGGATTGTTGTCTTGAACAGGAGATGTGAAATGCAGGTAGACAATATCCCTGTTTACTCTTTTACCCTCCTAGTTTGCTAGGTTATGTGCATTGCAATGGTAGCAGTGATCATACTAGTTTTATTGTGTTAGAATGAGCAGGGTGCAATGATATTTTGGTAAATGGTGAACTCGTTAATCTTAGACCAAGTGGAAACGCTTATGCAGCTGCATACTTATACTCGTCTTTGCAGCAGGGTGTTGCTTAAGATTTTAGCTCATTGGCTAGGTCGGTCTCGGTTTTATCAGTATTGTTTGTATGATTCTGGAGTAACATTAACTCAGGTGTATCCGCTGCATGAATGGCAGTGGTGTGATGTTTATTGCCTAAATCAATGCAACCAAAATGAACTGAATTTCTACCATCCTGCCACTGCATTTCCATTACGAATCTAAATTTAAAGTAGCTTTGAATGAATCGTGTGATTATGTTTTATTCGACAGATGTTGGAAATTCATAATGGATCTGTGGAAGTTGACGCCAGCATTATGGGTGCTCAACAAGATGGAAAAAAGGTCAAGGTTCCACTCAATTCAAGGTAAACTATCCTTAGTATGTACTATCTGGAAAACAAACAATGGACATTGTTATAACGATGTGGCGTGTAACAATTTTGTGTGTGCAAGAATTGTTGCTTTGTTGTTTGGAAGCTTCCTCTATATGTGTATATTATTGCCATTGACATCCCACAATATTGGTTTTAATTTTGTAGTGCATTTCTGAAGACTCAGATTTTGCATATGTACAAATACATTTTCGAACCTTCTTAGATTGCAAGTTATGCGTGTGCAATGCTCCTATGTACATAAGCATGCATGGATTTGGAGCTATAAATTTATGTCGCTGATCTCTTTTCAGTGATAAGTTGTACAAGGAGATTCGAGACCTCAACTTGCATGTTGTAGTTCAGGTTCACTCCACTGGCTTTACCTCTTGTATATCTTGTGTGAATGAGCTTTGCACTAATGTTGTTGTTCTGGTTGTTATGCAAGCGGCCATAAATAATATCGTGTTCTGGTCATTGCAAATTGTTTTGACTGCAGGTCGTCCGCCAAAAGGCAACGTCTATTCAGCAAGATTATGCAGAAGTAAAATCAACGAATGTAAGTGTAAGAACTAAAGAGTTTTGCATCATGTTGTGTATTCTTGGTATGTATTATCTTTTAATATTTGTCATGAATGTCGACTAGGTCCACCCAGGTTAGGTCCATGTGGTCCGTGACTCTTATAACTTTAACTATGCTGAATACAATACAATGCATATAGCTGTGATAACTTCTCTTCCCCGAAAGCTAGCATGATATTAAGAGCGAAGCAACCCCTAGCCCATCCACCATGCTAACCTCTTTGCGTGCGGTCTGCCACCTCTGCGTGTTGCCCCACCAGATTTATTCATCCACGATCAGTTCCCACCTTGGTTCACTATGGGCATCTACTTTGTGTGTTTCAGTATTTGAGATTCTAAGGTGGATTACATGTCGTCGTATTTTCTATTTTCAATTCAGCTCCAGCATCATGCTTACTCCTGCTTAGTGACTCGTTAGATCTGGTATAGCGGTCATAGGTGTTAGTGTGCCTCCCTTCTTATGGTGCCTGAAAATGCTATAGCATAGTTCAATCACCGGTGCCTGGAGTCAATTGCCTTCAGTATGTGTCTCATGTATACGATGGTGTTAATATGCTGACTAGGATGGATAGGCTTATCTAGAATCCTTCACAATACTGTTGAATAAAAAGGTTCCGAATATGATGTTAGTGTATAAGGAGCACCATCTTCAGCTGATTTTCTTTGAGAAATTTGACTGAATCCCTGTTTGTATAAATAACCACTTTATGATTGATTTTTTTGAGATACTGGGCTGACATGGAATTGTTTTGTTATATAGGGTCATAGTTTGAGAGTTCATCTTAGTCAGTCTATATTTTTGATCTTACCCTCTTTTTGGCAAGATCAAAGTTTGAATTCTTTGTAATAAACAATGTAGTAAGGTTGTTGGTTATATGCATCTTAGGATGCAGAGGTCAGGGGTAATAAAAGCTTCCATTTTCTAATTTTTTTTAGAGTTAGACATCATTTTTGTTGTTGGTGTTTGCATTGACAGGTTGCTGTCGCTGCAGTTATTTTGAAATATGGTTAATGATTCTGTCCGTTATCATATTCAGAACAAGAGTCCGTATCCATTTCGAACGATATGTTTTCGTAGTGTAAATACGATTACATTGGCATGAATTGAACTATCTGATGTGACAGTTTTGAAGAAGAAAAAGGACCACTAAGCGTGTACAATATGAAAATATTGTACTGTTAACTTCAGAATCATATATTGCCCGTTTGGCAGCTCTTTCATCTTCACTCGATATATTTTTGATGTGGAAATTCAGAGAACACGTCTCGCGTGTACTTCACATAATGTTTGGTCAAAATTTGAACTGTTCGATTTGGATATTCGGAGGACATGTCTCACGTATACTTGATGGAATGATTTGTCAAAATTTGAATTGTTGTATTGGGAGATGCTGCTGGCTTTTGATGTTACATTTGGGGTAAGGAGTGATGAACACAAGTGTTAGGATAAAATTATAAGTTTGTCCCTTTTTATGAGAACTACATACTTTGGATATCCCACTAGGGAATTTGCTGTTTAGCATCCAAAGTATCTGCATGTGTATTCCAGTTGGTTTCTTTGTTGCTTGAATGGAAGTTATCTAAATATTTTTCATAAACAGACACAGTCGGTTTCTGAGCTGAAGGATTTTGTGAAGAGGTTACACTCGCTACCGGAGATAGCTGTGAGTTACTTAAATACCTAAGTTTGTTTACCTCTGCTTCCACTAATTATGACACATTGTATGATTCAGAGGCATGTTAACTTGGCACAACATTTGCAATCATTTGCGGCAAAACCCGCATTTCATGCCCGAGTAGAGATTGAGCAAATAATACTGGAGGCGCAGACCTATGAAACGTGAGTTTGTTTTAGAAACTTCTCAGTTTTCTTTGAGTTACTTTCTGTGCATTTGTTATAGTTTATTCCTCCCTCGCAATTCAATGCTTCTTGAGTTCTACTCCTTCCGTCCCATAATATGGGACAGAGGGAGTATTATTTATTAACGCTTTATTTTCTTTATGCTTGCTTCTATTGAATAATCAATTTTGCACCCTGAAGTTTCAGGCTGGTCACTTTAACTCCCTTAGCTTCCTAACCATGTATTCTACCATCTAAACTTTTGGATCAGATCAAATAACCTCTTATTGTCGGGTGTTGCGGTTATTTTGCCATGTGGCTCTGCATGGATATTTCTAGCTGCTTAGCAAGCTGTATAATGGAAAGAGGGGCAATTCTCTTACTTGCCACTGTGGAAGCTTCTATGTTCGCTATATGTGTTATGATGGCAGCATTGACTGCTCAGCTGGGTTGAAAAAGAGTAGTATTCTTGAGACGAGAGACACAAACTTTGGACTTGACTAATTAAAACACAACGCCTCCCTTTTTTTTCGTGAAAACGCAAAGGACCCGCAAAGGTCCTTTGCGTTTCTTTTCATTGAAAAGGTAGAAGTTCAGCCGCAATCCTCCGAGGAGGTGTGGGGTGCAAAAAGATGAAAGAAAATTAGTGAACATCCTAGGTTGAGGGCAGAACAACCCTGTCGTTGAGCACTAGCCTCTGGAGGGATGATGTCTCCCGCACCTGCTCCCTGCCCCCTCCCTCTAGCCTATCCTAGCCCTCCAACCTTGCCGCCGTCGACCCCCGCCGACAGCCCTCCCCTCCTCCCAGCCCCCTTCCCCGCCATGTTGCCCTTGGTGCTGACTTCGTTGACCGTCAAGCAACCCCATTCGACGACTGTGTCTCTGGTGACTGTTGGCTCGATTCGGAGAGCGAGTCCTCCACGCGCTCGTAGAGCGACGTCGCCCGCACCCCTCCAGCCACCCCAGCCGCTCTGACGCCTCAGGCCCCATGGCGGCACCCTCCCAGCTGTCTGCCAAGACTCGCCTAGGACCTCGCTCTGAGGTTCACCGCGTCTCTGATGGCGCCATGGATGGCAGCAGTCACGTCGCAGGAACCGACGCTGCCATCCACGCCAGATCGCTGCGCCCAGCCCTCCCCCGCATCGCCAGCGCAACCCCTCACCGGAGGATGTCCCAGGGTTGTGCTTTCATTGCCTCGACCATCGCCACCGTCTGCGTGACTGCACCAACGACATCAAGTGTCGACGCTGCCTTGTCTCCGGCCACAACTCCCGCTCCTGCACCAGGGACAGCTCCATGCTGCTCCTGGCCGCGCGAGCCTCGCTGCTCCAAAGGTCCCTCGTCGCCAGGCCGCCCCCGGCCCCGCCTCCTCCTGCAAGTCCGGTAGCGCTTGCGACCGCTGCGCGCTCCGCCGAGCTAGCGCGGATCATCATGTCATGCACCGTTGAGATGGAGGAAGCGGAGGAGGTTCTCGCTCGCGCGATGGTGGCCTCCATCACCGGCACTAGACCACGTGTCTGTCGTAGATGTCGCATAGGTGCTGTTCAACGCCTTCGAGCTTGTTGATGGCGACTTCACCGTCCACACCCACCACCTCGAGGACTTCTTAATCCTCTTCAGCTCCTAGCTCACCAAGAACCGCCTCGACGGTGACCACTTCATTCGCAACCCACACTTCTATCTCTCGCTTCATCCTTGGAGCTAGCTCGCCCATGCCATCTCAAGCAAGTTTCAATACCGCGTCGAGCTCGAGCTCGAGCTCTGCGGCATCCCCGCCGAAGCATGGCACCTTTCAACGGCCGAGCACATCCTTGGAGAGAGCCGCTGGATTGAGCGTCTCCACCCCCACACGCGTTCCCGGGCAGACCTTGCCACATTTCGGCTGTCGGGGCACTCGCACGACCCTGCTCATTTGCCGCGCCGCTACTCTCGAGATTGTCGAGCAGATCACCTCCCGTGTCGGCTCTAGCGCGCCACCGTCAGGGCGCTCACGTACCCCATCTCCATTACGCTTGTCCGCACGGAGGTTGACAGGCTTTGCCCCTTGGCACCCCCTTGACACTGACCTTGATCGCGACGGTGGCGCTAGCGCCGGCAGTGGCCTTGGCCATGGCTCTGAACCTGGACGTGCGCGATGCCGTGGCAGCAAACGCCGCCGCATTGATGCGCAGCCCACTGGACGCGTGGATGGCATGGTCATGGACGCCCTGGGCTGGTGTGCTGGAAACCGTGTTGTCCGTGCAGATGGGGTGGCTGTCGCTTCTGCATGGCCTGCCCCTCGCGTGTGGCGGTGCCACTGTCTATACCTTCTGCGGGGAAGGAGATGATGCCATGGCCGGGCTAATGCGGGCCCTGCCAATCTCGTCTTCGTGCCAGAAAAGGAAAGAGTAAAAGGAAGAAAAATCAGTCCTTGGTTGTGGACCAGGCCCCCAAAGCTGCTCGGGCAACGGGCGGTGGTCCGACAGGATCTGTGTCCATTGTTGGCGCGGGGTGGCAGTCCCACATTGGCTGCAGACCCACCCGAACCATCCAGAATTTTGAACTCGTTATGGTCTTGCACGCATGAGGATGATTCTGCTGGGTCCAGGCTTGGCTCGTCTGATCCTAGGGCTTGTCAGGGTCTGGACGCTTTGAGCGAGATCCTAGACACCCAGCCTGAAGAGCCAGTACATCTAGCCAACAGTGATCTCTTGTCGGGACAAAGCAGTTAGCACCTGGCGCGGGGCTTGGCTCTTCCGCTGACCGGTCCGCAGGGTCCTCGAAGGACAGGGGTGCGTAGTACACCCTTGGCGCCAGTTCTCCGCCAACCCTGGGCTGCAGCTGTTGTCCACGGCCCAGCGGGCTCGCGTTGAGATCCTACAGAGGCCCTTGGCCCAATCCATACCGCCAAGGACTGTTGCTGGTCTGCCAGGCACGCCGAAGCCAGCGATTGACGACCACGCCTCCTTTCAGCCTGCTCCCAGCCGATACGCCTCACTGCCGCTCACAATGACGATGCGACGATCCAGAGGCCGTGCTGCTGCTCCCCAATCGTGGACGCTGGGTGTGTTCCTCTCAGCTGCCACCAGGAACCTAAATGCGACCCTGCCGACCCCCGGGAAGAGGCCACATTGTCCTCTGAACCTTGCTCCTCGCCGCGGCCGCTCGGCATCTGCTGCATCGCCAATCGCAGCGCCACCTACAACGGAGAGAAGAGCACAGGTCCAAAGACTGTGCACGCTGGGGGATTGTAGGGACAAACCAGAACATCATGGCCGCAGAGGTGAGGGCCTATGATGGCATGTTTGCTGCGCCCATCCCGCTCGTGGTGCTCATGGCCATTGCGGCCCTTGTCGACCATGAGTCCCAGCCTGCCTGGCCTCCCCGCCGATCGTCTCGGCAGGCGTTGACGTTGCCTGCGAGACTTGGTCATGCTTCGGCAATCTTTCCCATCGATCTAGTCCCTATGGATCACGGCCTAAAGATTGCGATTTGGAATGCGCGCGGCCTCAATGCGCGGGCGCTCGCACCTAGCTCACAGGGGAGAGGGGAGCTGTATGAGGGACACCGCTGACCGCATCACCAGCTGTGCACAGCCTTGACCCCCATGCTGCCACCTTGGGTGG